TACCTTTAGAATGTTGTTGTTGCCGCTGAAGCAGTTCCAACCCATGGTGACCCCGTGGGACACAGCAGAACTGCTCTGTAGCGTTTTCATTGACTGTGACCTTTCAGAAACAGATTGTGAGGCCTTCGGAGGGCCTCTGGGTAGGTTCACGTGCCCGCTTTGCAGCTAACCATTCGGGCCACCCAGGGACTCCTCATCTTAAAAATAAAGATGTAAAAAGACCAGAGTTACTGTATAGTTGCAATTATAGTTTATTTTTCCTTTAAATTTTATTTTGCTGAAAATTTCATTGATTTTGACGTTGAAAATGTACACAAGTAAGACACGTGAATCCAACAGTTTCTGTCTACATGTATGATTTACAGACAGTGACGACATTCTTTGAGTTGTGCAGCCGTTCTAACCTTCCTTTTTTTGGGGTTTTCCTGCCTCGTTGACATAAACTCACCGCCGCCTAAGGTTGCTATCTAATCTTTCGAGTTGCTGTTGTCACTTTGATCCCATGTAGATGGTTCTTAAAAGAGCACAGTGCTCAAGGCAGGACTTTGTCACTAGTTAAGCCAGACAATCCGAATGGCTAAATAAGCTGGTACATGAATACAACTGAGTACTAAAACCAAAAAGCGAAACTTACTGCCCCCAAGTCCGTTCCAACTCATAGCAACCCCCATTGGGTTTCCAAGACTGTAAATCTTTACAGAAGCAGACTGCCTCATCTTTTTTCCACAGAGCAGCTGGCAGGTTCAAACCACCAACCTTTTCAGTTAAATGCCTTAACCACTACACCACCAAAGCTCCTTATGACGGAATATTAGTCACCACTAGAGAAGAATGAACTACTGATAGAGCTAAGATCTCAAATGAATTGTGTTGAATGGAAAAAGCCAATCTCAAAAAGTCACATACTTAATTCCTTTTATAACATTCTAAAAATGATAAAATTAGAGAGATGGAGAAGATTAGTGGTCACCAGAGGTTAGGGGTAAGGGATGGTGGATGGGTGGCTAGGTGTGACTATAAAGGTGTTCCATAAGGGAACTTTGTGATGGTAGGACAGTCGCGTATCTTGTGGTCGTTCCCAAAATCTACACAGGATAAAATTGCATGGAACTACACAAGTGGTGTAGTGGGTAAGGTATTGGGCTGCTAACAAAAGGTCAGTGGTTCAAACCCAACAGCTGCTCAACACGAATAAGAGGAGACAGTCCGCTTCTGTAAAGATTTGCCGCCTTGGAAACCCTATGGGGCAGTTCTACTCTTTGGGGTTGCTATGAGTCCGAATCCACTTGATGGTAATAGGTAGGTAAGCTAAACTATTATTCATTTGAAAAAAGACTTCAGGGAATATTACTTGCAGGTATAATTATTTTTAAAATTTTTGTGATTTGGGTGAAAGTGTAAAAAGCAAATTCATTTTCCATACAGCAGACCAGACACCTTTTGTTTCATGACGTTGCCTTCAATTCCCTACAATGTAACAGCTCTCTTCCCACTTCCTCCCTATAGTTACCTCTTCCCTGTCCTTCTTTCCTGTGCATTCCTGCCCCCTGAGCTATCTCCCTGTGCAAACACTGCCCTTCTGTTCTCTCATAATTGATCATTCTAAGGAGTGTATCTACCTGATGTAAATGTTCACCCTATAGGCCTGTCTATTGTTTGGTGGGAAGTCACAGGAGTAAGTTCAATTTCAGGACTGAACGCTACCTAGGGGCCATAGCTTTGGGGGTTTCATCAGGCTCTATCAGACCAGTAAACTTGGTCTTTTTTTATGATTTTGAGTTTTGTTCCCACATTGTTTTCCCACTCTATCCAGGATCTGGCAGGTATAATTTAAAGCTCACTGTATCCGAGATGAAATAAATTGTGATTTTTCAAGATAGTCTCAAATTGGTTTTTTTTTTTCCACAGTGTACTTTAAAGCCTTGATCACCACTGAAAGTGTACAGTATGCACTTTATGTCAACTTTTCCAGTACTGATTATCCTCAGATAACACAGACCTCCAGTATAAAAAGTTGCCAGTAATAAGGGAGTCTCTCAGCCCTGCCAGGACCCCTCAAATCGCTGTTAGATGACCCCCCTGCCCCCACCTGCCCTTCCCTTCTGACTATACCATCCTTTTGAATTCTAGAGGCAGATCCACTCCAGCCCAGAAGTCCTTGGACATCACTGAGTGGGGGTGTCACCCACATTGGGAGCTGATCAGACAGATTCCCAAACCCCACTCCCAGTATTCTCAGTCGACCTGGGATGGGCCAAAGGTGGTTTTCTGTTTGTTTGTTTGCAGTGTTCCCTCCCCTCCCCTCCCACCCCTGGTGAAGGTGTATTTTTAACGAATTCCCCAGGTACAGCTTGTCCTAGGCTCTTTGGAGGGCACTTCTCTCCCTCTTTACTCATTTTTCTTGGTAACTTCAGATAATACCAGAGCTCAATTCTCCACTCCCACCTTCTGGATCAGGGTGGCAGCAGAGCCTCTGAGCGCTGCTCTTTCTCCACGGAACCAGATCTCCTTGCCTTTCCCTGACCTATTTGCCTGAGACTTTGTCCCTGCTAGCATCCCTTTGGTCTGGCCACCTTCAGGCCTTGCGTCTCACTGCCTGTGCTGAATAAGATTGAAGTGAAACCTAAAAATAGCTCCTTTAATGGCCCTGCATTGCAGCTTCTGAGTCTGTTCTTGTCTGGAAGGTAGCCAAACTGACTCAGCACTAAAACTCATCTCTAGAAGCCAAGACAAGGTTGCAGAGAGGGTTTGTGGGGGCTGGCAGGAGGCTGTGCGTCCTAGCAGGGGCTGTCGGAACCTGTCCTCCTCCAGATAGCTTCCCTCTTCCAAGGAGCAGCTCTGAACAAAAGAATCGTCCTGGCTTTAGAGAGAAGGAGACATATATATGAAATCCCAGGACAATCCAGGCTACTGAAGTGGTCCCTTTGGGCTGCTGGGCCATTTATGCCTAGGGTGGGCAGACTGGGAGAGGGGACCAGGTCTGGGAGGGCCTTGAAGCTTCCTCCTTTGGAGGTGACCTTGGCCTTCTTGCACGTTAGATGCTGGGGCACATCCCAGACTGAAGCCCCTCCCTGTCTGCCTCCGCACACCGGAAACTCAGCCCGCCTTCTTTGTCTGTTTAAAGCTGTCATCCATGTCTTTGATTTCTTAGTATCTTATTGTCACTCTTTTATTGTCTCCCCAGTTTACCTTTTCCTAACTGTTTTCTCTACTAATAAATCCGAAAGGACCTTTTCCTTTGAAGGGTGCCTTGCTGATCACTGTGGGGAAACAAGGCTAAGAAAAAACTGATCTGTGGGAAAGAGCAGACCTGCCCGACTCCCAGAGAGACTTTGTCCCTGTCTTCTGA